ATTAAATAATAATTAAGTAACATATTTCTTTACAATTTCTTCAACTTCAGGCCAATTATCTGTTGGAAGCTTTACAATTTCACGTTGGAAATGTGATTCAATTTTTTTAATCAAATCCCAACTTGTAGCATCATGTACAAAATTAATAGAGACACCAGATCTACCAAATCTACCAGTACGTCCAATGCGATGCAAATAGGTTTCAAAATCGGGATTCCTACCACTGGGGTCGACTGGTATATCATAATTAACCACCAAGTTCACTTGCAACACATCTATCCCACGCGATAGAACATTCGTGGTAATCAGTACTTTGGCACTGCCCGATCGGAAACCATCCATTACCTGATCCCTTTCGTTGGTCGATAGACCACCGTGAAGATTAATAACTCTACGATTTCTTTCTGTCATCAACCTTGCTATTCTATCTGCAGTTTCACGTTTCTGTTTTTAAATTAAAGATATGCCAAGTTACAATTTTGAATATATTGTTTTCTTTAAAAAAAACTCTGATATATAATTAATAAATAAAGTAAAAAACAAAAAAATCTATACTTGAACAAAAATTATACTCTGACTAATTGTTAATAAGCTATATAATTCATCCAATACTGAAAATTTATGTTCTTCATCTTTACAATCCATATAAAATTGTTTGATTGTTTTAACCGATAATTCCTCGACTTTTAGGTTGAATTGATTTGCATTTGGTGCAAATCTGTTAGCAAAACTACGTACTGGATTGGAATATGTAGCGGAAAAAAGTACAATCTGACAACTTTTTGGCATCAAACTGTTCAATCCCAAAAAAAACAAATATATTATTTTATTATTAATAATGATTTTATATCACAATATATATATATATATATAGCGCGTATACATACTTTTTTATCCTTATACTTTGATCTCCTAGACCTTGTTGATCCAACATATTATCAGCCTCATCCAGCACAAATATTTTAAAAAAATTTTTTTCTATGATTTGTCTTTTCAATAGATCATAAACTGTACCAGGTGTACCAACTATCAATTGAACACCATGAAATTCACCCAGTCTTGTTTTAGTTACTCTAGGTTGAGATTCTCGAATAGCTTCAGCAGTGACCACTGATGTGTATTTGCCCATTTTTCTAACTTCTGTCATAATTTGACGAGCTAATTCTCTTGATGGTGTCAAACAAAGTGCCTTTTTTTTCATTTTAAATAATACAAGTTATAATTAATTAATTAACAGCTAATAATTTAATTAAGTAAATTTCTAATAATAAATAATATTTAAAATATTTACTTGTGGTTCTTTTAATCCAGGATCTATCCTACTCAACATTGTTAAAACAAAAGCCGCGGTTTTACCAGTACCTGATTGTGATTGACCAATCATATTTTGTGGTCTTAGAAAATGTATATATATATTTTCTCCTTAGTAAAAATAGTAATTAATAAATTAAAGCAAAGTAGCAGTAAATAATCAGTAAAATATACACGGATCCTTGAGTAATAATGGTAATGCTTTGGCCTGAATTTTTGATGGATTTGAAAAACCCATTTCATATACACCTTTCAATAAATCTGCGCTCCTATAATTTATAATTATATAAATATACGTATTTACAAATATTTTATAATTAATATTTAAATTGGTAAAATGATGGGTCAAACTAACTTACAAATTTAATTGTTCAAACGTTGCTACAGATAATAAAGGTTCGTCTTCATCAACAAGTTTAACTTCAACTTCATGTTTTGTTTCTTGTAATGAAGTGTGCTTAACAACTAATATTTGCGGATAAGTAAATTGTAGTGAATTTAGTAATTTAGATCAGTAAAATATAAATACAAATATATATATTAACCTTCTCTAGTCCCTAATTCAGAAATCTTTTCTGCAAGATTATCGACATCTATAATTTATTTACAAATAAATATACGCGTAAATATAATTTGATGCATATCTATTACAATTTGTAAATGCAGGATTAAAACTTTTTTCTATGCATAAAGAACAAATTGTCTAACCTTCATTCATATTATCAAGATTTTCAACCATCTTTGAACCTTTAATAATAAAATTATTTATTTATAAATTAAATTGATTTTTATCGATGATGATTAATATTTATATAAATAAATAATGGTATATCTTCACGTTTTGGTGTAACAAGCATAGTGGACTTTCGATTTTGATCGACATTCGAAATCATCACGTTACACAATCGACATAGTCAATAAAAAAATTTCACGAAATAATTATTATTTATTTTTTAAATAAAAATGACCCAATCTAATAAAGGTCCTTGTTCCATTCTTAATTGTAAAAATCCAAAACCTTATAGAAAATTTACTACAGTTTCATATACTAAATCAGTTGATGGTGGAACATTTTCATATTTCAATTATTTAAAAGTCAACGAATCTCAACTTTGCAGTTTCCATCATTTACAAATATGTG